TCCCTTACTTATCTATCAGGATACTCTCTATTTTTTTACATCTCCTTTTTTTTTTTTATAGATCTTTATTGGAGTATAATTGCTTCACAATACTGTGTTAGTTTCTGTTGTACAACAAAATGAATCAGCCATACATATCCCCATATCCCCTCCCTCTTGAGCCTCCCTTCCACCCTCCCTATCCCACTTAGTAACAGCTATTTGGCTCATTCTTTGTGTGTGTAAATAAAAATTCATAAGCTAAATCAGTGATTTTTTTGTAGATAAGAATTATTGGCTTCTCTAAAAGTGTCAAGATGTATCCATTATAATTTTTCAACAGAACGACTTTGGACATCAATAACTGAAGATTGGCAGGCACCAATTCTAAATATTTTAAAGATTTTATTCTTACACACCAATATAATTTCTAAAGTTTAATGCTCATCATCTTCTTTCTGTTCTTGTCCTTCAAAATATTACTTTATTGCATTTGCTGTCCGTAAATAGTCCAAGTCAATTTAAAATCACATAATTTAAAAACTCTTAGTGTTGTTCATTTGTAAATGAATATTTTTGTTCATATGTATTCATAATAAACTTTATGAGCCGACTACAACAATCAGTTGTAGTGAAGGGCTGACTAATAAAAGTAAAAATGTGAATTAAGTCCATTCTGTAAAAGAACCATTAAATAGAGCTATCAGTACAACCTCACATACACTCACAGGAAACTACCTAAGTAAACTTCAAATGCTATATTTTTAGGAATTCATTGGCTATGGTAGATAGTTGTACTCACTCATGAATAACTGAGATAATTTTTATGAATTCATTTTATCTATGTCATTAACTCACCAAATGATGTGTTTCACATTAAAATAAAAACACTCTGTCTGTAAAACCAGCATGTCAGGGTACCGGCATACCATGATCCGTATTACTCCTTTAATTATTTTGTAACTTTTTGTCTCTGTTTTGTCTTTAAATTTTCCAGTTTTTTGCTCTATGAATCTTTAACATTTACTTCTGTTTTACAATCCTGTTTCCTGTGGTTTGAAAATAAAATACTTCATAAGACTTGATGCAAAGAACTGAGAAAATATTAATAGACCAAACAACAACTTTCATGTTGAGTGTGAGCTTTTCTACTAATTTTAGGGCTTTGGGGGAAGGTTACTTTTCTCAAACTCTAAAATATTTCTAGCTGAGTCTACTTGCACCCAGTGGGAACTGACCTAAAAACTAGCATCAAATATTCTATAGTTATGAGGATAAACAGGATTTCCCAGTCCTGAAAGTGTGCAAAATCCTTGTGATGGAAAAAAAAGGGGCGCTTCTCTATTAGATAGTCCATACATAACCACATGTCTTCACAGCTGTGATTCCTGCACATTACTCAGTGTAAATGTGCATAATATTTCCTGAAGAAGAACATTAGTCAGCTCATAAATTAACTGATTTACAAGACAACTATCTTTCCACAAGTGCCTTAAACGTTTGTTGTGAATTTAGTGACTATTAGGTGATATAGAACACTGGATAAAGCAAAATAGTTTGAAATGGTTGATTAGATTAATGTATAATTGATATATTGTGTATCCTAATGGAAATTCTATGTTATAAAACAATTAGCATTGTTTATATGTAATGTGAGTTCTGATGTTTGGAGCAGAATAATTCACATTTATTAATTTCGCTGTTTCTCTAAACATTTTTAGGGAGAGGAGCAGAGGATAAGTTTTACTTTGGTTGAGTCAGTTAACTTTTTGTGTTACTTTTCAGCCTCATAGACTTTTTATTTCCCCATGATAGTAAAAAAGATAAATAACTTAAATTTAAAATTGTTGATAGAAATATGGTGAGAATTTTAATTTCATCAGTTAGGTAAAATAAAACATATAACAGATATTTGAAGACCTCCACAATTTAAAATGGCCTATATTGGCAAGGGGAAATTTATATATATATTGAGTACTTTTTACCTATTGATGATACGCTTATCAGTCAATGAATATTTACTGTTCTGCAGATCTGTGTACCTGTTTTATTAAAAAGTATAAGGAAAGACGTCTGTGAAAATAATTGCTATTTTAAAATAAAAGATTCGTTAGAGAAAAATTTAGAAAACAAAAAGTAGAAAGAAGGAAAACAATAAGCACATCACTTGAAGCCAATCGCTGTAATAGCTATGTGCATTTTCTTTTAGTCTTGTATCCCTTTTGATTTTTAACACAATTTATTATCAATCAACAAATTAATAACATAGAATATACTATATAGAATAATATAGAATAATAAAACAATATATTTTGGTCCTATCAGGATTATTTTTCTTTAAGAAATTAAGAAATAGTAGACTTTTAATGGAAAATTCTTTTAGTCTTAGAGTTTCAGTTTCATTTTTATGTACTTTATTATAGCTATAACCATAATCATTCTTTGTATCTTTATTTTTTTATAAGATTTGCATTTCTGCATGTTATTTCTGAAACTAGTTTTAATTCTACATGAATTTATATATAGATATAGATTTCTGTTTTCGTTGGATATTTTATTTATTTTTGCCAATCTGAAGTTATGATTAATAGCACTCCAGTGAATATTACATGTGTTTGTTCTAAATCTTTTGATTGATTCCCAGAAGCGAAATTACTGAGTCAAAGGCACTAGTAATTATTATTGTGGTTACTATACATGAAAATCAAATAGTTGAAAAGTGATGAGTACTTATAAGTGGGTCAGAGCTTGTATTATAAATGATAACTTGAGAAAAGGTTTCAGAAATGAATCAGAGAGAAATGTAATCATTTTTCTCTCTTCAAGGTAAAAGCCAGTATAGAAAGAGTAGCAATACAATAGAGGAAAAGGAACAAGAAGCGGCAATGCCCTGTTATTTCCACAGCACGGGGGACTAAGAAAATATAATAGCTGTTGATCTCTTCTGTTTAAAAAATAATACAAGTAAATTATAAGACGTAATAAAACTCATCCATTAGCCTGTAATGAGAGAAAACCTACTATTTGATGCATTCGTTTTGTGTGTACATGTGTGTGTTTCTGGGGAGAAGAAGGTGTATAAGATGAGATACTACTATATGTATGATTTGATAATCCTGCTTTTGTTATTTTACATAATATGAACATTTCTCTGTTACTTTAAAAAATTTATGATATTTAGTGGCTGCATAATATTCCATAATTTATTTATTTTTTTCATTCACATTTATCTTGTTTCTACCTTTTATGGCTATTATAAATATCACTTCAGTGAACATTCTTATAAGCAATTTTGGTACTTCTGATAATGCAATTAGAGTAAATACCTATAATTGGAATTACTAGTTTAAAGGTAATGCCGTTTATGGATTTCTGAAATTCATCTAAGTGGAGGTAGGGTTTATCTTTTAAATTTCTATAGTTAAAGTCTCCCTTAGGTTACTTTGATGCTGTATAACCTCAGGCACCTTATTTGGCTCTCAGGTCTCTAGTTATCCTTCCTTGAACAAATATATGACTATCAGACATTTAAGTCGTTCATCAGTGTCATGAACTAAAAGGAATTTGGGGAGGGTCAGGTAACAAATGATACTGCTCAAGATTTATTAAATATCTATTATGGTTATTTTATGCTGATCATTTGATCACATGGTGGTTTTAACCACCTCCTCAATAATATATATGTTTTCTCTCTCCATACCAGAGTGCCTCGTGGTTCTCTAAGGATTTCCAAACTGCCTGTGTGGGGTGGGCAAAGAATCTGTAATCTCACTCAGCCTCAGCCTCTCTCTCTCTGTCTCTCTCTGTGTCTCTGTCTTGTTCTCTCTCCCTTCCCCTCTCTCTCATTTCTCTGGTTACACACTATCTTTTCTTTCCAGTGGTGTGACTGGCCTGAAGTGTTACAAGTAGTCTTTCTTCTTCTTTTTTCCTGTCAGTTCGGACTTTAATCTTAATAATGAGAGCAGATGTTCACTCATCTCTGTGGTTAGAGTGCAGAAAGAATAAATCTTTGGTAGCTTGGTCTAGGAAGATTTTTTTTTTTTTCACCTAGAAATATTCCCCATCTTTTTTCTCTTTAAAACTTTCCCTTTCCTACAGAAGAACAGAGAACACAGTTGACAGCCCTTCAGAAGCCAGGGACACTTTTGGAATTGCCTCAGCAGAAAAGCCTTTCAGCACTTAATCTCTGAAGCTTCTTCATTTCCCTTTGTTTGGGCAACTAAGTACTCTTGACTCAGGATGGTGAACTCTTGATTTCAGGTCACCAGTGGGCGTTGCTCTGAAGTGAATAGTTGATTCCTGTGTTCTAGAATTCTAGAATTTTAAAAAGACATCCACATTTGACTACAGTACAGCACCCTTTATGGAACTGTTTATGGCATAGCAAATCTGGGCCTCCATGTTTTATCCAATTTAGCCCCTTGCGGCTCTATTATTATGGACTAGAGCTCTCTCCCTGGCCCTGAGGCCTTGCATAAAGTTTGGCTCGGTGAAAAGAGAAGGATATCCTTTGGGAATCAGTGATGGTGAGGTTTTGTTTGCCTGGAGCACAAGACTTAGCTGCTGAATAATGTATGTTTAACGTATGTGGAGTCAGTTCCAGATTTATAAAGGCTGTAACAGGAGATCCTTGTATATTGCCTCTTACTGTCATTTCTAGCAGAAGGAGCAGAAGAAAGGATGAGCCCAAGACGTCACCATTGCTCCTTCTGGTCAGAATGCGAAAAGTTAAGGTGGCAGAAGATAATGAAACTGTTTGTTAAAATGAGGTTCTTGGCTTCTCTGTTGGATTTTCATTTATTCAAGAACTGATTTCCTTCAAGAACTGAATTTAAGATGATGTTACTTTACATATTATATGAAAATGTTGTACATTGTTACATGTATATAGATGGTGTTATATACTTAGACTTCAAATTACGCTAGACGATCAATACCATATATGAAACTGAATAAAATATCGTGACTAGGATAAAAACAAGTGTAGATACTTGAATATCTATATCTTAATTGTTTTCCAGGGAAAGGGGATGTATTTGGAGACATCTTCTGGAAGGAAACCACCCTTGCTCATGCCTGTGCCAATGTCCGAGCACTGACATACTGTGACCTCCACATCATCAAGCGAGAAGCCTTGCTTAAAGTCCTGGACTTTTATACAGCTTTTGCAAACTCATTCTCAAGGAATCTCACTCTTACTTGCAATCTAAGGAAACGGGTATGTTGTCTGGACCCACTTCCACTTATTAGCATCTAGAGGGTTAATACCTTATATGCTATTAGTTGAAGAGTGGTAAAGTGATTTTATTTCGTAGTAGCACATTCCCATCAATGTAAAGTGACATGATTTCTCCCCCCTTTCTTTATATTTTGTTTGCTTTTTAAAGAGGGGGTAAAAACCCTGAGTACATGGGTAAAGATTTGAATCTTTATCATTTAAGTGCAAAATGAAAAACAGACTTGAGGAGAAACAAACTGTACTATAACGTAATTAGTTAATTCTTGGGGTTTATAATACTGCCATAAAATTAATATCAGTGTCTCTTACTTTATTATGTGGATCTTTTAAAGCTAGTAAGGTTAATCAAACTGGTTGCCTACTTTATATTCCTGATTCTCTTTACACCCTCCCTCTCATTTAATAGTCAATTCATAAAGCTCATTCCCCATTAATTCTTTCAAACACACTATCTCAAAAAATAATTAGCCATACTGACATATCCTATAAATAGATTTAGGAATCCTTTACTTTGCATGGCTGCTGCAATTTTAATCTTATTGCTGTTTTCTTTTTTATTGATGAGTGTGGCACAAATTTAATTTGCATAAAGAAACCTCCTAGCTCTGACTTATAGGTCATTGGACATTGGCGAGGGCTCTTTTATTGCCAACAGTGAAATAGATGTTTGGATAACAGCACTTAAGGAATTTCATCTAAGATGATCACCTGTCTATGATGAAGTATTTTGAAATAACAAGCCTTTCCTTCCACTAACCCCTTAAATAGAACCTTCCTGCTAGTTAACATGGAGAAAAAAATCAATCCAAGAGACAAATTAACATCTATACTGCAGCAACAAAGAAATGTGCATAAGTAAGCAAATCAACGTAATTCTCTACTCAGGGTTCTAAGAGAGGATAAGACTTCAGGAGTCATATTCGTACTAGTGTCACAACACTTGATTTATATAGCAGTTTCAGTTTATATTTTGTTAACAAATAGTTATTGAGCATCCACAACCTGCAAGACAAAATGTAAAGAGCTGTAGAGAGCACGAGGACTAAATACACAGTCGCCACGCTCAAGGAGATGACAGCCAAGTGCAAATATTATGTGAAATGCAAATATGTGAAACATCTATTTGTACAAGTAATTGAGAGTTAAGGTAATGATAAACTTGGAAGAGGGGTACCAAACAGGGCACCTGCTCGTTCATTAGGGAGCCTTGTCTAGTATTACACAGAAATATGTCTCCTTAGGTCTGTGTTCTACCTTCTCTTCTACAAGGCTACCTCGTGGGTATTTGAAACTCTTATGTCTTATTAAATCTTCCCAATATACATTTTGCCAGTTTTAGAATCTTCCCACGTACTACAAGTTTACCAAAACTCAGATCTGTCCTTACAGTCCTCAGGACAGATATTATTTGTCACTGTCCTCCTCAAAGCACTGTTGTCTACACATCATCTCATCTGATGTTTATAATATTCCTGTGGGGAAAAAAGGGCAGTTATTTTCCCTTCAAAACACATGAGGGAACTCAGACCTAAAGAAATTAATATTAAGTAACCGACTGATATATTTGCAATGAAAGGTGTCAAAGAGGGATAATTAAGAAAACTCACCAGTGGCAAATAAATTTTGGTTCTTCAAGATGAGTTAATCACAAAGCTCTATCATCTCTTTTTCTCTTTCACACATCTGAGCATGTGCACATTACACATGCGCACACACACACACGTTGGTTATAAGAGCTGAGCACACATACCAGCGTGTCTATCTCTGATGGTGTTAGAGACAGAAAACTCGTGCTGTTTTTTTAATGGGACCCAGGAATGGAGCTCCTCCCTTTGTAGGTGCCAGTGTGCTAGTTATATCACATGGCTTCTTCCCTTGTTCCTTGTTATAACATGTCAGGTTTTTTGTTTGTTTATTTTTTAAAAATCTTTCTTGCCCTTTTGCAATTGATAGATGGTCTCAATCACTCGAATGTGGGTGTATTGCTAATCAGTGTCACTTTATTCTCAGAAAAAAAGTATTTTCATAAAGAAGAGAAACTGTAAAGAAATGATTCATGAGAATAGCTACCATTTTGAGAGCCTATTTTATAGCCATGCACTTCAACATATTTTGCATATAATAATTAATCTTATTAAATATCAACAACCCACAGACGAGGCAGTATAATCTCCATTTCATTGATGAGGAGGTTGAGGTTCTGAGAGTGAGGCAGCAAGTTGCCAAATAAATTACGGGTCAGAGTCCATCTCTTTCTGATTCTAAAGCCCATATTCTTTAGATTATACCATGTTGCTTTTGTTTGTCAAAATAGCTGACTTTTTTCCCCTACAACAATACCCTACAGGCACACTCTCAACAATGTACAGTTTCTCATTCACTCAATTACTTTAACTTCATTCCCCCACTGAGCTATTAACAAAAAATATTTTGTTCTTATTGCTACTATTTTCAGCATTCTTTCAGTGAACATTGGTTGTGAATCGTAGAATCAAGACTATGTCCTTAGCATGCTATTGATATCTCCTAGTTATCATAACCATTAATTAAGGGCTAGCTCCAAGTTGGGGGAGCAGATTTGGGACTCAGGGTTTCAGGCTTCGTAGATTACAGCTCTAGCCGCATAAGCACATACAGTGGCTCTATAGTGTGTAGTTCTCGGTGGCTGTAGTAGGGAGGAATTTGGTAATGCTTTAGCTGCTTGCCTCCATCTCCAGTAAGGAGAAATAAGACGGTTTTTATGCAAATATAGCTCCCACTAACCATCCTTAGGTTCCTCTATATAAAATTTCTAGAACTATAACTGGTAATTTCATCCAAAAACTAGAGCAGGGGTTGACAAAATTTTTCTGGCAAGGACCAGATAGTAGATATTTTAGAATTTGAGGGCCATATAGTTTCTGTCTCAACTACTCAACCCCACTATTGTAGCGTGATATTAGCTGTCTTAACTTGGGCTGCCATTACAAAACACCATAGATTGGGTGGCTTCACCAACAAGAATTTATTTCTCACAGTTCTGGAGGTTGTGAAGTCCAGGATCAAGGCGCTGGTCAATTCGGTTCCCCGATAAGGGCTCTTTTATTTCTGGTTTGGCAATGTCTGCCTTCTTGCTGTGCCCTCATATGGTGGAGAGAGATACAGAGAGGAAGCAATTTCTCCAGGGTCTCTTCTTACAGAGGCACTAATTTTATCATGAGGACCCTCATGGCCTCATCTAAACCTAATTATCTCCCCAAGACTCTTTCTTCAAATATCATCCTACTGGGGGATTAGGGCTTCAACATATTGATTTTAGGGGAACACAATTCAGTCCATAGCAGCAGCCAAAGATAGTATATAAATAAAAGAGGATAGTTGTGCTTCAGTGAAACTTTACTAACACAGGTGGCTTCTTATGGGCCTTAGTGTGTCAATAGCTGAGAGTAGAGGACTGGAAGTTAGATGGGGATGACAGTAGGTATGCAAATAGAATTCTTCCCCTTTGTTAGAAAGCAAATCTCTACTAATTGCCACCCAGCAAGAGGGTCATAATGAAATGGAAAATGCCATATATAAGAGGTGGCTGCACACAAAAACAAAATCCAAACAAACAAAACAAAACAAGAGGTGGCTACAGGAGCCAGGTAGATAACACACGTGAGTAAGGCTATGAAGACTGGAAAGTTCACACCATATGTAGCAGGGCTGCTGCTACTCAGTCCGCTTGTACATTGCCTTGGAATACCAGCCTACGGTTGCTTGGTCTGCATATTTTTTTTCAGAGAAGCCAGAAGTATGAATTTTTATGTGAAATCACATTACTTTGGTAACTAATTTACTTTGTCTTTGAAAACACTATAGTCAAACAAAACAGATCTGCTTGCCCTTGGTCAACTGTTTGTGAACTGAATGGAATGATGTAAAGAACCCCTGATCTTATGATACTAGAAGCCTGAAATTTTTACCTGCATCCTGTAAATTTGGATGAGAAAAATTATTATATCGTTATTTTCTTTAATTTCTAAGTGAAATTTAGCCTTTTTTTCAGTTATGAAAGTTGATAACAAACTACAGTGTTATTAGAAGTACCAAAAGACATTACAGATATTTTCACAGCATAATGTTTTTGTTGAAGACATCCTAAAATGTTTGCACTCATCAGTACTTAATAATTATGATAGTTATTAGACCTGCTGTGATAATAATGTTATTGTGTTAATAAAAAAGCACATAGATTACTATCTTGCAAATTAGTTTTAAAATTTGATAACCGAATTTCAGTACAATATGTTCAGTACAATATTTCAGTACAATAAAGTACACTATGTATTTTATTTTGTGCATTTAAAGCAGCTCTACTGGAATGAGGCCTATTCCACAGGTTTTACCTGACTGCTGGAGATTAAGATCCCCCATATGAGAGTCAGAAACTGGACTAAGTTGAGCAAGAGGACTGGATGGTATATGTTTTTCAATAATAAGAAGACAGTTCTATAGTTTCCAATAAGTTTAAACATATTCAGAAAAGGCATAGCAGAGCAACAGAGGAAGGTTGACTCACTTGCTGATTTTATTTATGATTTATTTATTTTACCTATTCAAGATACCATTTCCTGGAATGACTAAATGGTATTTATTAACTTGAGGACCAGCCCTCAGGGACAGGTCTGAAAAGGCACACAGCACAACCAGCACAGGTGATATGTAAATCTTAAAGAATTCTAATCAGACGTTAAACGTAATCGCTGCACTTCTGCTCATTCTGCCTCCTGTTACGCAGTGATCTTTACCATTGTGTAAAAAGAGTAAATGTAGCAAGCCTGACTGCTGGACTTTGAAAGAACTGCTTACAAAGTGGGCCCTTGGCTGGCATCTGAGAACTTGAACTTCAAGAGAGTTCCCACCACTCTAATAAGAGTGACTCACAGTACCTGCTACTTATCCAAACAGTGTGGCTTATGCTAAACATTTACTTTCCTTCAAGGAGTGTGGCATTT